GCAAATATATCAACATGTTCGTCTGCAAGCCACTTATTTAATAATATATCTTCCAGTGCGGATCGGTGAATCAAAATATGGTCTCTGGTAATGATAACGTCACTGTATTGAGACCAAAGATAGTTCCTCTTAATTAAAAGGAAAAAATCTGCAGGCACATTAAAGTAGTGTTGGACATTTACTTACCTCCCGCTGTATCTGGATAGGCACTGGTCTATTTCTTCCTGCATCTCAATTGGTATGAATGACCTACCAAGATACTCAATAGTTGAAGCCGGAGGACGTACCTGCAAAATAAAACAATCCATGAATAACAGGAAATAAGAATATATAAGATATGCTTCAAAGCACTTAGCTATATTATTAACTTACAACTATGGCATATTGGTCTGCATCAGAACTGGGGCTTTGACTAGAAAGTTGGTGATACCCGGGTGCATCTAAGATTTCTTCATATGAAACTTGGACCTTTTGGGGATCACCCTTTTTTGAATCAGTTTGTACATCATAAGTCAAAAGCCGCGTCTAAAAAAAAATATTGTTAGCCCTAATAAAGTAGGAATGTACATCATTAATTAGAAATTAGAATGACGCACTTACCGATTGGGCCAGAGCTTCAAGAACACCATTCACTGCTCGTTCCACTTCTTTAGGGTCTTCATGGACTGTCTCATCATACATATCTGCATCTTATGCTTCTCTTATTGCTTCTTCGGCGTCTCCGACCTGTAAGGGAACATCAGTATTTCTTATTGTTTGTTCCGGTACATCTATATTTACAGGAGCAACAATATAGACATCATCAATTCTTCTACGTCTTCTCTTAAATTGGTATTGAGATGTAGGGGGGTCCACTTTCCTCTTTTGCTGATGACCACTACTGCTGGTCTTCTTACTTGTCTCGGATATTGTTTTCTCAGCGAGCTTCTCAGCCTTGGTTTCAACTAATCTATGCACCAAACCTGTTAGGTTGGACAATGCTTCAACCACAGTATTCATCTTCGCACTCATACCAGTAATAGTTTCTTGTATATTTAAGCTTATTTGTTCCTGAGATTTTAGCATCTCATATAGTACCCCAAAATCAGCACTCTCCGTTGTATGTCCGGGTACTGGGGTTATATCACTAGAAACAATTGTACCCCTGGCATACGATTTGGGTGAAGATGGTCCTGCAGTACTTTCGTGATGTGAAAGTTGCCTTGCAGGGATCGGCGGTCCCTGCTCTGGATTTTTGAGGAGTTGTACTTCATCATCACTCAAAGCTAGGAATCCGTCATTAACCTACAATGAAAATGCATTCGTCAGAATCATTGCAATCACTCTTAGAAAGCTACTAAAAAGATGTGTCAATAAGCTGTAAT